AAGTCTAACCACTTTATTAAAGTCTATCAAGTTTTAGTAATATTAAATTCGATGTTTATAGCTACCTCACAACCATAGGTCATTGATTAGATTTGATTTTACTGAATGCAGCCATAAGGATCTTAATTTTTATCTACGTGTAAAATAGCTCTTATACTAACCTTATCTAAACCTATACCGATCAAACCACATAAATCTCATGCATATATATTAAACCTATGCTGTATCAGGCTTTTTACGTAGCTTAAGTGAAACTAAGGGGAAAAAATTTATTTACTAATGAACAATATCTAGCTCTAACTATCTATCGTAGCCCGTCTATACTAAGCCATAATCTAAGCCTAGATTCGATAAAACTCGAGATTAGCCATCAATATCTGATTATAACAACGGGTAGCAAACCCCGCCATTGTTCCGCTAAAATCTATCTAATCCTAGAAGATTTTTTTATGAGGGTTTTTTTCTTTTCTCACACACGTTTGTATTTTTTCAAAATTTTTAAAAACAATTTAATATGCAAATTATTATTTTTTATTGCAATTTATGACCAGTTTTTTTAAATATAAAATTGGGATTTTCAAATATATTTATATTGAACAATAATTATTTTATTCATAAACTGGCCAAAAAATAATTACAATTTGTTAAAAATATATAGGTAGTTTTAATAAAATAAAAACCCCCCGATTTTATATATATATATGTATATTGCTATTTTAAGATTGTGTTTCACTTTTATATAAATATATGTATATAATTGCTATTTTAAGATTGTGTTTCACTTTTAGGGTTATTTTTATATATTTTATAATAACCTTAGCCGATAAAATATTTTTATTGCCGATTTTTTAAAAAAATCGATGTTTTAAATATTTACGCTACTTTTAAAAGTAGCATACTAAACTACAACTGATTTTCCCAAAAACGTTTCGGTTATATTAAATTTTAATTAAGAGAAGATGCCCCTTCAAGTTTTTATCAAGAAAAAAACATTTTCTTTTTTTCCCCGAAAACATATTTTGTTAAACTAAATAGGAGAACTAGATGGGGATAAAAAAATGTCGGCCCCCAAATTTATAAAAAAAACTACAATATATTAAATTTTGATTCACAATTAACAATTAAATCTATATAAACAACAAAATTTTTAGACAAATATTTATTAATTGTGTCGATTTCGCAGGACTGCCTCTCATTTTCTGCCATCGAAAAGGCAGAAATCATACAAGAAAATAAATACGCTGGCCTCACCAACACTGTGTATACCAATCGTTACCAATATCTTAGGCATGTTTGGAAGTGAGGCCCTCAATTTCATTAAAATCATAGGAAAGAAATGAGACAGATCTCAGGAGACCCCAATGAAGGATTTACCTTCGTCAGATTTCCCTGGAAATCTGCCGGTCCAATTTTTTAAGTAATCACTCTTCTTTAGGGTGACTTGTACACTTTTTTTAAAAAGAATTATTTTTTTCTCCTAGTTCTTCTTTTAATGTTTTTCATCATAAATTATTTATATATTTTATTTTTTAAATTTTATTTTTAATATATCCTTATTTATGTATATTAAGTGTATATATAAATGTTCAATTTGATTTAAATCAATATTTTAATAAAGTATCAAATAAATAAAAAAAATTTTTTTATGCAAATTAATAATAAACAAAAACATACCTATAAAAATGTTAGTTATAAAATATCCATTTTCTCATTAGTCGCCAAACAGATGAATGAAAGCTCATTTAAATTCAATAATAATGGGCATGATAAGAATCTTAATATAAATAAGGACACTGAGATAACAACAATTCTGGTAAGCTAACAAATTAACAGTAATAGTTGTTATCTTAAATCAATAGTTGATTTGATGCTAAGCATCAGGCCTTTTGTGGGGCAGGTTCAACAGAAATTAGGGATACTACAAAAGATGAAAACATAATTTATTCTTTAGAGCAATGTTTTCATACACCATTCAAAAAGATCCTGAATTGAATAAAATTATGGAATGAATATCCAAAATGCACAATATATATCACCCTAAATTCAAAATGAAATCTAATGTATGGCAGATATGGTGCTGGAATATATCTCAGAAAAATGTAACAAAAGTGTTTTTTTGTCTTAAGGCTGATGAGACAAAAGATGCAACATGTGCATAATTATTAATTATATTTTTTATTGAGAAATTTAAGAAGGTCTAGTAGAAATCATTAATTACAATGTATTTCTGCTGACAGCATTATTATATTTTAAAGCAACTTAATAAATTACATATTAATTCATCGAATGTAATAAGTCAGACATATGATGGTGCATCATGTCTGGCCGAAATGGAGGAGTATAAACTCTATTTCAAAAAAATTATTAAAAATGTGCCTTGGAATAATAATTTATATTTTTTTAATTTATTTAATGCATTTTAATTTTTTTAGGCGTTTCAACATATCCTGAAACAGGCCATAGAGACCTTAGACCAGAGGTGGACTAGTCATTTAGAAACATTCGTATTATTTATGAGAATTGTGAGGCTATTGGTGATGTATCTAATAGAACTTTTAACTCAGAGGTATATGAAGTAGTAACAATAAATTCACTAAATAAGTATCTACAGAGAGTGGATGCTAAAATTTGTATTAATTCCACAATTAATATATTTAAAAATCAAAAAGTGATAATTCTTTTGATTTATAAACAATTATGGCTGAAAATATATCAATATTTAATCTCATCTCAAAAATCATCAAGGGTACTTAAAACGTCTACAAATCTTTATGATTTTATATGCGATACCAAATTGCAATTTGGTTGTGAAAAGGACTACAATTAGAGTTCTTTAAAAAATAATTATGAAATTATTATAGATCGTTATTTAGATAGAATTACATAAGATGATTTAAATCTTCTATCATGTTTTAATACATTGTTCCCCCTATTTATTTTATATCAGATAAAATGTCCCAATTAGAATCATTATTAAACTTAAATGTGGATCTATCATGAATAGAAATATAAAAAGGATTATTAATTGCATAAGTTAAAGAAACACATAATTTTATATCGTAAAAAGAAAATATAATCTTGTATAAATGAATACAGCAGCCATCATCATTGAGGGAATAAGGGCTTCTTGTGGGACCTCATTCTCTGCACTAAAGAGTTCTATCGAGCACTAGAGGAGTGATGAAAGAATTTAGTAATTTAATGGCTTATGAAAAAAAATAACACAGAATTTAGAATTTATATTATTTATGTTAAAATTTTTAAATAAAAATCGTCGAGTATAATTTTGTATTCATATTTACATTTATAAATTTTTGCTAAAAATAGAAAAAAAATTATATGAGGACCTAACCATTTGCTTTATTTTAAAAAATATTGCCCCCCCCCCAAGTAAGCAGTTGCCCTCTCCCAACAAGAAATTCATGGCTACAGCCCTGTTTTCATTGTATTTCTTGAATACCTTCAAACGGAGCTATAAGAAAAAGTTTGGCTTATAGTGTAATTCATTTATTTTTAGGTTTCAATAATTTATACATAATTGACTGACAGAATTTTGCGTTTTCTTTTTATTTACCTTTAAAATATGTAAAATGTCTTAAAGAATTTGAAATCAAGTTTAAAAATATCAGGAGCTTGTTTCATAATTTCTATTTCAAGTTCCCTCTCTCTGTTTTTCCGAGTATTAAAGGTTAGGACTTCTATTTGCCAAATATGGAGGCTTACATAATATTATTTTGGATAAAATCTTGATCGGGCAGTTTTTAAAGATTGACCTAAATATGGCCATTTAACAACACTAGCTTTTGCCTTTTCATAAATAATATGTATAAATATGATTAAAATTAAAGTGATCATGAAATTTAATTTTAGCGGCAATACGTTTTTTTCCGGAAATGTGTTATTTTATCAGCTTTAAATTATTTTTTGAGAGCATTTTTTTCTGGAAATAGGTTCCGGCATGTTCAGAATACCTATCTTATGAATTTTAATCAATTTTGCAGTTAACCTTCGAGTCATTTATAATTTATATAAAATATTAGATTAAGTTCAAAAGTTCATGAAAAAATTGTCTGTCATAGAGTAGATATTCCAAACATAGTGGAATATATTTCCGGTAAAATCAGATTCTTGAATTAGAAAAAACATAAAAATGATTTAAAGTTGAAAAATAACACATTGTCACATGTGTTTCCATAGATTTTAAAATATATAAATTAGTCAAAAGTTAAAGTCTTAAATGATAGGTATTTTAAAAATACTATTGTAATGCATATATGGCAAAAATGCGCTAAAAAAATTATTTAAAGTTGGAAAATAACATATATGTAATAGGTTGACGATTTATTAAACAAAAGTGTGTGCATATATAGATCAGCTTTAGTGGCCTACATATAAAGGCCAAATGACATTTATCGTCGAAATTCTGAAAAAAAATAGTCAACGTGGACCAGTGGCGTAGCTAGGAATTTTCCTTAGAGGGGGTCCATACATATATAAGACTGGGGGCTTCGCCCCCGACCCCCTTTAATCATAACAATATCTTCGATATTCTATAATAAATATAGTTAATGCATCTATAAAATATTATTATAATTTAGTAGATTATCTCAATATATTATCCTTCCACGAACATCAAAAATATAAATATTCATGGTATTTATTTGATATAAAGTAACTCTTAAGTCTTTTGAACGTATAATCTAAAAAAAAATTTTGCTCTGGGAGGGGTCCAAACCCGAAAACCACCCCCGTAGCTACGCCACTGACGTGGACCATGAAATGCATTTACTGTTGAGAATGTATTGGCATTTTAATGATTAATCGTCTGTCTAAACCAGTTGTAAATGTCAAATCTATTTGGTATAAAAAAGATTTTTGATTGTTTTTGTTTATTTAGAGGATGGGGGATTTTGTCGTATGAGTAATTAATAGCGACTATGGAGGAATAAGATAACATTTCCATTTTATTTTTTATGACAAATTTTCTTATCTCATTACATAGCAATATACATTTTTTTTAAATATCCGGGTAATGCACAAACGAATTATTACTATATATTATATATAATAATGAATATATTTAGACTTAATAGAAAAATGATATAATATTCTATATTATAAATTATTAAATAATATGAAATTCAGAACAGTCATTCCTTTGGTTCAAGATATCGGTCCTGGAAAAATAAAATACTTTGAATTTAAGTGTTATTAATAATTATTACATAAATTATAGGTTATTTTCTCTAGCTTAGAATAGATGAATATATATCAGAATATATTAATTCAATTATTATTTATATTAATTAAATAAATAATATAATTTTTTCATTTTGAGGTAATAATGATCTCCGTTCAAATAAACCCTATTATCATAATAATTAAAATTATTTTCTACTAAAAAAAATAAATAAATAATAAAAATTGACCTTCACAATTCAACGATGGATTACGATATGATTTAAAGAAATATTTTATAAATCATCATATTAATATTATTAATATAAAATGGTTTATTGTATTTTTATTTTGTATTGTTGGGACTAGAGAAGAAGGGTAAGCTAGAGGAGTTCGGCCCATGATGTTCAAGATTAAACAATGGACAATTGGATATGATTGATATATGTTTAAATAGCCTATGGGCAATTAGCAAGGTTGGTGTAAGATTTATATAATAGTTGACTACACAATGCATAATCACCTTAATTTTATAAACAAAATAAGTAACATTGTTCATCTATCACATATATAATTGTATATTTTTAAAGATCGAACAGTTTTAGCATTTCTAAAGGAGGAGGCCCATTAATCGCGTGATGGTAATGAATGTGGGTTGAGTTAATAGGATTATCGGGGGAATTAGAATATGAATGATCAATAAATTGGTGGATACTTCTATCCAAAGAGAATCTACAATTGGTAGAAGAGCTCGGTAAAAGAAATTTTGCTACGTCATCGGAAGCGACCTGTTGGCATAAAATTGGATTGATAGGATTGTTATAAGAGTTCTTGGAACGACTAGGGTGAAAGGTCGTGTCAAGGTGTCCATCGTGGGCTGGACGAGAAATTTGAATGTTTGAAGGAATGTCGATTCGAGGAAATGTCAAGTTATTATCATAGTATGCAATATGAGAGGAGTCGTCTGCAATTTTAAGGGGGTCTTGATTGAAAAAAGTGGAGGATACTGTCATGGTTAAAGGCGAGACTTGAAATCCGTCCATGGAATTATCGAGGTGAACTGATACCACAGAAGAATTGGATAAGGAGGCATTTGGGGTGCTATGGAATTCACTTATAATATCGTGTTCTTTTCTGACTTCTTGACTTATTGGCGAGGCCAATTTTTTATCACTCATCTCACTAAGAGGAAGTTGGGAATAAACTAGCGATTGCGAAACGTTGTCCAATACTGAGAAGGAACTACTATTGCTGAATGTCAAGTTAAAATCATCGAATCCATTTGAATTCTGAATCTTAGCCGAAGGATTTAAGGAATTATGCCCAAAATTCTTTTCAGTTGCGTGAGACTTCACGGCACGATCTTGGGCATTTATGAGAACATTATCGTCGTCGTTAAGAGAGTCGCTTGCTTCCATGCAATGGTCCAATATGTAATTGTGGTAATCGACAAAACCAGTGTCGAAATCTTCGGCGGTGTAGCCAGACCCACCCAACTCATTGTGGTTATTAGAGGGCTGGGAAAGTCCTAGAGAAGTATCCATGGGCAATATAGACGCGTTAGCACGAAGAATGTTGGGATTTAAGTGAAAGGGTTCTTCGCCTACACCAAGAACCACTTCGTGAGAACCTTCTTTATTATTTGAAGTAACTGTAACGGTGGAATAATTGGTGGAGGAATTGACTCTCTGAGTTACCTGATGATTAAGGTTGATATTATTATTGTTCCACAGAGTTTTCCTGTCCTCGAGATGTAAAATTTCGCGTTTTAACGTTTTCGCGGCGTTGTATATTAGGACACAACGCCTAAGAGCCACTTCAGGGTCGTTTATACGGCCTAATTTGGAGAGGGATAATCTGAGAAGCTTTCCCTTGAAGGCAAGAGCAGACGATGTCAGGCTTATTAGTTTTCTGCGTTTGAATTTGTAAGCCGAAGCCGAGTGAATATTGTTGATCGTAGAAAGGTTATTAGTGGGGAAAAAGGATGAAGATGTGTAGTTCGAGTTAGAACTTTGTTTGAAAGGTTGTTGCTCGGAGTTATTAGAGTGGTAAAATTGCTTATACGTAGGGGTTAAAGTGATGGTAGATATGATCTCTGTTTGGCATGCATTTAGACAAATTGATCTAGTATTTTTGATGCCGGTAAAATGGTCCATTTCGTTTAAATTCTTAACATATAAATATATATATAAAATCATTAATATTTTAATATAAATGAATTTTTTAAAATGTAGTCTTAGATAGAGGTCTGCATTGGGCAGGTTTTTGGACTAAAAGCCCGCCTATTTAATGTTTTAAAAAAAATTTAACCCGCTCGCCCAGCCCATTAGTCTAAAATTTTTTACCTGTCCTCCCATTATTTATAAAAATTTTTTAACCCAAGCTCGCTTATAAAATTTAATTATGGTCATTCTTTCATTTTTTTAAGCATCTAAAAATATTTCATTACTCCTCTATAAAAAGTATATAATTTAGGAAATTAATATAAGTATTAAAATAATCAATGTAAATTATGGACAATTTATTTGATCAAATTAAATATTTATGAAAAAAATATAAATGTAAAATTAATATTAAATGTAATTATAATGCAAAAATATTAATGAATCGACATTTTCTGGATTCAAACACGTTCTTCTTTGTTCTAAAAATCTTCCAGCTATGCTAAATCCGCGTTCGGAAGAAGCACTAGTTGCAGGAATTGGCAATATTTTTCTTGCTAATCTTGATAGCTTTGGCAGATCTCTTTCTTGTCGTTTCCACCAAAGTAGGATATCCGTTTGAAGTATATCCTCTTCCTCAAGTGAGATCTTTAAATAAAAGTGAAACCAAATGCAGATTGCAAACCCAAAAAAAGGAAATTTTAAGAGAAAAGTTATTTTTAATAGACAAAAATGTTTATTTATTCTAAGAAAAAAGTTTTATTGTTGTGTTTATTACATAATATAGTTAGGTAAATGATCTCCACTTAAAAAAAAACGATTGGTACAATAAAAAAAGAAATATTGTTATAGTTCATTTAAACAATTATTTTTTTTTAGTTTATTTTAAATTTCCTTAACCCGCCCGCCTATTGTTCAAATTTCTTAACCCGCCCGCCCAGCCCGCCCATAGTTTCAAACTTTTTTAACCCGCCCGCCCATTTTCGAAAAATTTTTCACCCGCCCATCCGACCGCCTTCTTAGATGGGCGGGCGTGGGCGGGCGGGCCGAAACCCCGCCCAATGCAGACCTCTAGTCTGAGGTTCACAAGGGAAGTAATATTTGTCCTAAAAAAAGTTTCGGAATTTCGAAATTTTACGGACATTTTTTTTTACATAATGTATTCCTCCAGTGTGTGTATAATAAAGCAACACACACCTTTCTATTTCAGAAAATATCGAACTTGTGCATTTATTTTAATATTATATGAAATAATCTATATAAAATCAAAAATTCTACGGGAAAATTATCTGAAATTCGCAATCACAAAATGGAAACTCTATAAACCCAGGAATACACATCTAATAATTTACAAGAATTTTCAAATATAATTATTCGCCCTCAGTAAATGATTTAAAATTGAGACTCTGAATCCCCACATAAGCATCGGATTAAGTGTCGGTCTGGCTGGACTTCGATATTAGCATTTTAACTGCTGGACTCAAAAATCTTGGGCTAAGACTGATCATTTTTCTTATTTCCCTATAGTATATTTATAATTTCCTCTCTTTCCTTTGTAGTATAAATAAATAAATTTTCGTAATTTTTTTCGGATCGTATCCAAGTCCAACCTTACGTGTCAGACCTATTAAAAAAATAATAATTGGTCAGACCTTCATTTCAAAACATCGATGTAATGAGCAGAATATATATCCTAAAAAATTTAGATAATTTAAATTTGAATCATTCTTAAATTGATATACTAAAAATTACGCGAATCGCCTTAAGATGTAAATCAGTCAATACGACATAGTGATTATGTGATTTGAACTGTATATATAAACTAAACAAGCAATAATACGGAAAGGGGTAAATGAGTAGCGACTGTTTAAATATAATATGGCGTACCAAGATTTTCCTATGGGGGAAAGAAGGGGGGGGGACTATTATAGTGAGACCTTGATCGCGGAATTTCAAATGGTTATCGTGCAAATAAAAAAAAGCAATTTATAAACGTTAATATAAACGAAAGCTGGTTTTCTTTCGAAAGCTCAATTAGGTCGTACTATTTTGGGGGGTTTCCGCCATAAATTTTATTGAAGGGTAAACCTTTGGTCATGGTTCTGGACCATAATTCGGGTTCAGACATTTAAAATTGTTTGGTTGGGGATTTAAGAGATCACAGACCAAACAGAGACCGATTTATGGGCAACTCATCAAACCCGGGGTAATATGGAACCGAACTCTTTTAGAAAATCGGTTTTCGATTAAGTTATCAAAATTCCACTAAATAGAGTTTAAATTCCTCAACCCGAATTCAGGTCCAGAACCCTGCCTTTGACTATGTTATGTTTTATAAAAAATCATTTTTTATTTTCACTTTTTATATGAAAATTTTGAAATTAGTCGTTATTTTTAAATAATTATTAACTTTATTATTCTTTCAAATTATTGTTTGATATATTTATATTGTAGTTTTTAAAGGGAGGGAGGGGGATTATTATTAGCTTAAAATGATATTTACGAGAACACTTACCCGAAAAATAAATTTTAGGTCCAATTGCATCGGACCTATTTTTTCATAAGCTATCCCACTTATAGCTAAGTAATTACTATATTTTTTTGCTGATTAAACTAAGTTTTAGCTGGCTAAAAATCGAACCGAGGTTTTAGTGGAAAACTAACACTTTGACTTCGGGGTTTTTTCAAAAAAATATAGCAGCTTAAATTTGAAAGAAACTAATATAAATTAAAAGGCATGTTGACGAATTTCGCCCGCAAGCACCCGTAAATTGAGCCGACATTTAGCCATTATACAACTATAGTCCTACCCGATCCTATATATATAAAAAAATTTGCCTCACCGATCTGATCCCTGAATCATTTTTTTCTTCAAAGATTCGAGCCTAATCCTTAATTTTAATTTTTCGGGAATAGATCCAAGTTCGATTAATGTTTTGACGAAAAGGATAAAATAATTAAGCGTTTGAAGTAGAGCTGCACCGATATTTTTGCCGATGACCTATTTATAAATGTGTAATATCTCAGAATTGGCAAGAGATTGGTTGCTAATTATTTTTTTATGTATAAACATCTTGGAATATCAATGTATAACATCACAACTTGTTATAAAAAAAAATTATTTATTTTAAGGAAACAGACGATTTATATTTGCCGATATCAAGCATCTCCTTAAAATATTTTTGTTTGATAACAGATTTTTAAGTATTATTAACATTCCGAGATAGTTATGAATTAAAAAACTGTCAATCTTGTACCAATTTCGAAATATACACAAATATAACCAGGCGGCCATTTTAATATCGGCAAAGAATCGGTGCAGTCCTAGCTTTGACGGGATAGAATAATAAAAATGTTTAGAAAAACAAGATAATTTAAATTTATGTCGAGTTATAGGAATCCGATCAAGTGGTATAAATTATATCGGACTATCCGTGCAAGGCTTTTTTTGAAAAAAAAGCGCTTAATTTTCGGGTAGACTGGAACCTTTTATAAATATCGGGTCCGGGGTTAAAAATATAATTTTAAAAAAATGGGGTAGGATCGGGCCAAAAAAATACAGGGCTTTTAATTCTGATAACCAAAAAATATTTTAAAATATACTATAAAAAACTAAAATAAATAATTTACTTGAATTTCGTTATTTTTCGAAGATTTTTGAATTTATTGTTTATTTCTCAATCCATGACGAATAAAAATATTTTAAAAAAATTGATTAAATAATTTTTATTTTTAATTTAAGTTTATTTTGAGACAAAATATAAAATGTAATTATATTTTTTTATAAAAAGTTAATTTTTATCAAGAAACAAGCAAAATCAATAATGAAAATTTGTTACCATCGTTCGATTTTTGCAATTTGATTTTATATAAAAATAAATACATATACATATAAAAAGCGTTAATAATATAAATAAAAAAAATATATAATTAATATAATATTTGTTTTTTTTTGTTTTTTTTGTTAAAAAAAATTGTATTGTTTATTACATGTAAAAAATAAATTTTTTAAAATCTTTTATAATTGTATGCTGCCAACAAAGTACATAGTTGCACAGATTGGAACAATAAATAGATTAGTGGGGAAAGGGAGACGAGGGGGATATTTCAAATAGGAGAGTTTACCACCGAAAGCACTGAAGAATAAGAAAGAACTTTGGTATGCATTTTTGGAAGGTTATGCACTTTAACAGTTTAATATACTATACCTTGGCACGGTCCGTGGAAATGTTTGAAAAGTATTAGGATATACTATTTAATCATTATATCGTTCTACCAGGTCGGAGTTTAGATACTTAAATTTACCAGGCGCGGGTCAAAACTCGGGCAGATGTCTAATCTGTAATTAAACAAATGATGTAAAAAAAATAATAAACCTATTATATATAAGTATGTAAATAAAAACTTCTAAATTATTTTATCATTAAACATATTCACTTGCGTAAAGTAATCGATAAGGCTCCTCCCATATCCAATTAATTAAAATACTAATCTTTATTTATTTATTATTATAAAACATTTGAGAATAAAAATATTATCGGGAAAAAAAAGATAGCCACAAATTTTTTTTCAATCCCCAAATATACTTTAAAAAAATATCATCCCATTCAGGCTATCGTTTATAGATCCCCTTCCCCATAAATTATATTAAGTAGGTGGTGGGAGCACTCACTACCTCTGAAAATATAAAAGAAATTCCGATTGACTTAATGAGTTTTTAGGTCTTATTTAGCTTCTTTTTTATGAATATCATCATATACATACACAAATCATCATATGTAATATATTACAAATTACAATTGCATGAGATTGTTTATAAAGTTTATATTTTATTGGAACTAATTTGTTATTTTTATTATTTATCATAAAATTAGTTCTATATTTTATATATATCCGATGAAAATTATTGTATGTTTTTAAAAAAATATATATGTATATTAAACAAAGCCAAGTCAATAAGTGAGAAAGTAAATAAATATTTTATAGAGCGTAAATATATTTTAATATAATTAAAAATTTTATGTCAACCCTCTACCGGACCTCTTCAATTTTTTTGTGTGGTCATAGCGTACTTCCGTCGCAAATTTAGAGGAAAAATGGTATTGATTAATAAACGATATTATACTATATCAGGAATCATTATTGTTATAATTTATTATACATTATCCATCATTTGGAATTTTAAATGATTACTGCTATGTTTCATCAATGATCTGCGGGTGGCCTAACCAGGAATCCAGATTATGAACTATAAATTAGAAATGGGACCTCCTTCCTATTTAAAATTATAGTAAGTTGTAAAATCAGATCGTTTTAATTTTCATTCGATTCTCATTATTTTTTCAAACATTTACGGTTAAAAATTGTTTGCAATAATCAATTTTAAAAATTTTGGGATCAGTTTCAAAAATTAGAGCGAGCTTTACAAAAGGGCACCATGTTAGGGGTTTAATTTTTTTTTTTCTTCGAAATCCATTCAAAAACAATGCATTAAAATAATGAGATGGAAAATGATATCTTATCTTCTTTTTATTAAAATAAAATAAATGCTTTAATAATTTAGGATAAAGTAGGTTTAGTGATTATTAATTTTATTTTAACTTCAAACAAAAAAAAATGATTTATTTAATATTTTTCCATTAAAAGAAAATTTAATATAAATGCGAGGCGGGGGAAAAATTGAATTTGCAAGGGCTCTATCTTAAATTAATTAAATTTTAAAAAAGGGGCTTGATATAAAAATTTGACCTCTAATAGGTTTCTGATTCCAATGATACATTATATATTTTCCATATGGTAATTATCATCCATACAACTTATAAGCAGGCCTTATTCAGAAATGTGTGAATTTACTGAATTCGTTCAAAAAAAAGAATACGAAATTTTTATTCGTTTTTGAATCATGCCGATATTATCACCTGTTACAAAATTACTCAACCCTCAAGTTTTAACCTGATTAATTTTTCGATACAAATTAGCGTTACAAAAAAATATTTATTTTCTTGCAAAAATAAAATCATAAGCATCAATATGATTTGTTGTAAAACATTTCCTTATTATATTGTAACAACTTTCTTAACGAATTGTTCAACTTGCTACTATTATATATTTTTTTAAAAAAATGTTAACAATATGTTAGTTTTAGAATAATTATAGCAAGTCATACCATTTTATATGAAAGTTTTTACAAATATATAGAAATGTTTTACAAAATCATACACACACTGTATTAAAGATTATTTTGTTATTTATATTTATTACAGCACATTTTTATTCTTTTAAAATAATAAGCTTCCCATGGTATCTTCCCTATTTTTATTTTTCAAGCTGATATTTAATTATAAATGCTTTAATTACTTTTTTCTTTATTCTTTTCTATAATAAAGAAATGTAAATTTTTATACTCTCCTTGGGGGTTGGCGATTTTCTAAAAAAGAAAAAAAAGTATTCATAATTCGAAAGGAAAATTTTAAACTCTAAATTTATATTTTATTTAATAAATGGCGTCATTTTGTTACATTTTTTATTTTAAGAATAGTAAGTTCTAAGGCCGAGTTCTGGTTCATACGATTCATGAACCTTATTTCTGTTTTATCCAGGCTAAACGGATTTTGAATTAGGACCCCCTCCCCATCCTATTTTGGTTTGTTTTAAGATAAAACAAAGACACGTATTCTTTTATGTAAATCTAAATGACATATTTCTTTTTAGAGGAAGCTATAAAGATGGCTAATCAGACGACGGCTATCATAGGAATAATTTGAGCGCTGGCATGGCCTAAAAAATTTACCAGTATTTCTAAATTCGTAAAAGATAAATCAATATTTAATGTTTTTTTAAATACATTTTTTAAAAAAAAATAAGTAAATATGCCAGATAAACGACATAGGGTATTAGTTATAAATTTTTTGGTGATTAGGAGGGCGGGGAGTATCTATTTCGATCAATTTTCTTTTTTTGCCACTCGTTATTAATAATAGAAACAAAATTTGGTGGCCCTTATAATAGGCTAATTTTGGCTCGCACAGAATCATGCATGGAAAAATACAATTTAAAATAATAAATAATATAATTATTGATTCAAGTAATATAACCATCAATATATTTTCAGCATTATCGAGTTCATCATAGAAAAGTAATAATTATCGTGACGAAAAGTTACATTTCCTAGTTATGAAATATTATCATTATAATATTATAAACTTATAATTATATTTGTATATCTTCATAAAACTTGATGAAATATATATTTTTCAAAAAACCCCTCAGGTAAAAATAGAATTTTCTTTTTCATTTATTAAATAAGTGAAAATTACTACTAACAAACCGATTTAAAACATACAATTAAGTTAACTATAGTTTGTATTTAAATATTCGAAAAAAAATATTTAATCTTAATTTTTTTTATATGATGAAAATAAAGATATTATGACATTTATTAGTGTGGCGGACGGGTGGGGAAATATATTCTTTTTTTTAAAAAAAAATAAGACAACCCAAGTACAGATAAACTTTCATTTTTCATTTGGTCCTTAAATTTTGCTACTTAAACTGAGCCAAAATTTTTCTATAACCAACTGGGATGCAATATAATACATTCTATTTACTTTTAATTAAGTATTAAAGAGGTTCATGTGATCATTTAAACGTTCAACAACTTCTCGTATTTTCGAGTTCTATTAAAATCATTTACAAGATGGGGCCAACCCGGACCAAGGCCTAAAAATAAATATTTAAGGATGGGCTGGAAAATATTGTTTTTTAAATCCTAGTATAGCCATGAAAATTATTCTTCATCCTTGACAATTTTAATTTGAGGTGTGAATATTGTGGGATACTTTTAAGATGCATGCCAAACAAAATTTGCTTATTTTTTTCAAGTAAGAAAGAAAGAAAGAAAGCAAGAAAGAAAGCAAGAAAGAAAGCAAGAAAGAAACTTTCTTTCTTTTACGCCTTCTTCAAGTGAGATATGTTTTCAACAGAAAAGAAATTAAAGGTTGAGGGTATTTTTTTCACCTAAAAATAAGGTTGAGCAAAGATAAAACAATCACCTAGAGTACTAAGATAATGCAACTATAAAAAAAAGAAAAACAAACATTTTGTATAATTTTTAAATAATTGCCTAACTTATATGTTAAAACATCTAGTGTTCTAAACGTTTCTTCAAAAATGTAACTTTATTTTTTCATTACTTTCTGAAAACGTTACTATTGTTGTTAAACGGTTCAATTTTTAATGACGCCTATCCATTATTTTATCTAAATAATATATAATGCAATCCTGAAAAGTTTGCTTATAGAGGGCAGAAATGTTTAGACTTCTATTAACAAAATCTTGAGGCTTGTGTAATATTATTTGGACTAAAATCTTAAAACTTTCCAATTAAAGAAATTCTGATATTTATATATTTTTTTCTAGATATTATGTTTAAAAATAAAGGTTATAGAAATACAATAATATAATTGAAAAATATTGTTAAGCACTAAAAAATGTATAAAAATTTACAAAATTAAAAAATTATATTAAAATAAATTTTCTAAAGATTTTTTAATATTTAGTTCTGATTAAATTGTTTTTCAAAATTTTGATCAGATGATATCCCAAACATAACCTTTGGTATGCTAAAGGCAGGGGCTTTTACGTGATATTTTACCTCCTACCAAAAAAAAGAGGAAATCCAAAACAAAAGGCAAGGCATTCAACTGCCGTCGATGATGAATCATGGACAAAAATTCTAGGATAAAAACAACCGGATAAAAGCATCCCGGAAAAAACTAAAAGACACTGAACAAGAATACTTTAATTTTCAATAAAAATATAAAAGCTTTAAAAATGG